ATTTTCTGATCGTGCCTGTTGATTTTATCGTGAAACAAGCTCACACGGAAGGTGCATTTTATATTCTTTGCTTCTATAATCTTAAGTATAAGCATATATTCAGAAGTATAATCATAATATAATTATGGATATGCTATTGCAATAAACAAACAAATATTTATCTTGTCTGATATGTAACATGGTTAGAATTAAATGCTAAAGAAAAATATCGTTATGTTAACATTTATCGCACGTTCGTATGTGTGCATACATGCACGTATCAAACGTAACTTCTTCAAAGCAAGTACGATCTTTTGCAACAAGATTTTATTTCCGTAAGAGGATCCGAAACTTTCGATTACAGCTCGGACGTATCTATGCATCGTGACCCCTCGACCAATCGATCGCTCTGAAATTTTTATGAAGTAACAAATCCGCTACTGCATGCACAACTCTAAAGTTTTAAAATCACGCCATCTTGAATCGAAATAATTGAATGCACCAGGTATATAAGCATGTTACAAATTTTTTAGTAATGGGAATGTTTACATAAATTTAATCTGTTTTAAATTAAGAGTAATATTTTACATATATTTATATGTTTTATATTTAAGTTCTAATTCATGTATTATTATTATTATTATTATTATAAATATGTTTAAGCTCAAGGCAAATATATAATTTTCATTTTGATGGTTTATGAAAATTTTGTTATACATGTTGTTATTTATATAAATTTTATATATTATACATTAAACTGTATGCATTTAGTACACTGTAATTTAATTAATTAATTTAAGTTTATAAATCCAACATTGAAGGCAATTTTTGTTGATATATGTGTACAGATTAATAGAGTTCTTTGATGCGATTAAATATAAAAAAAAGGGCTAATATTAATAAAGCAAGCAGATATTTTATCACGTGTTGCCTGTAAGCTGAGTTTTGTCCAGGAATGAGCCGTTGTCCATCGGGATTTCATCGGACATGCAACGAGACGAACTGACGAGAAAAAAAGACGCCGCACGTCGGCGCACTGCGCGTCCTGATACGTTCGCGTCAACTCGCTAAGTTAAATTTTCAACGATGTTCAGAAGCGCCCAAGCACCGAACATCACATAAGAGATCGTCCGCTCAGACACGCGTCTCTATTTGCATAACAGAGGCGCGTTGCATAATGGAAATTGCCCCGCGTTGTATAGCATTGCGTGCTTGCATCGTGTGCACACGCTGCTCACCGAGAAAGAGAAAGGAATTTCTCTCATTCGCGTGCTGGCGAATAATTAGCAGGCCTGCCCGTGACATGAAGTTTGAAGCTGTTGCTGACTGGATATGCACAGCTGCCTTACATTTCCCGCATTCCTTAGGCAGATTGGGGTCACTAAATAAGAAATTACCTCGCACGAATGCAGTCCGCGAGTTTTCCGATTACATGGAAGTAAATCTTTCTCAACAATGCAACTCGAATATTTCATTAATCTCTGCTTGATTTTGTTGTGGATAAAACACGATAATCACGAGAAGACCTTAACTGTTACACCCGTAGTGCAGAACACGGTATATGTATAATTATTTAAATTATACATTATCGTATTATTGATATTGACACATCTCATCTCTTATTATTGATCTATCTGCCTTTGATAACAATTTTCTTGATTAACAGTATTCTCTCTTATACGTAATGTATTTGTTCATATTTTATTACGTCTTATTACCAAATTTTTATATTCGTTGGACAAGATAGAATCAAATTTATCGTATGCTTTCTTAATATTTAAGTTTGTCTTTTTCTTGAAACATTTCTATACTTTGATGTAAATACTTCTTACTGCCTCTTATGTCGATGACGTGACGCACGTGCATGTATAAACATGCTACTCACTTTTTTCATTTATTTTCATTTTTAAGAGTAATTTCGAATAATTACACGTTCACGTCGCTTCGCGAAGTAGGAAGTAGAAGATTGATTGCAGATGCAATGCCTTTGATAATGAAAACGCATAAGCTCTAATCGTCCGCCAAGCTTTGAAATTATTGATACACTAACGTTCTAATACCATCAAATATCATCAAATGTACAAGGAAACGGATACGATTAACAATGATGCAGTATTTCGATAAGACGATTAGATTTGCGTGCAAGCAGTTTCGATTAATGATTGCTATGTGATGCTCGAATGTAATAGTAATCGATAACGTTTGAATGCAATCCAATTTTAAAAGTATTTTGTAGGTTATTCTTTTATCTAAATGCTGCAAGCGTGCAGCATTTTAATAGATATCCTAATGGAAATTATGACATAAAATATCACGCTGCCATTTATATTTCCTTCCGTCCGAACACGGTTATCGGGAAATAATTGTATATCACGTAATCACTCTACAGTATAGACTGCAAAACATTAAATTCGCGATTTATTTCACGTCCAATTTTGCTTCCATTTATTACGGCATTGCAAAATCATATATCACGTAAATATTGCTTTAAAGCAAACTATATTTAGTACAATATACGCTCATCGCTTAAATAATAATGCAGGGTAGTAATGTATCCCGCATTCAAAATGATATTATTCTAAAGAACCCAGTGATTAATAAATAGGTGTACACGTTACTGCAAATTTAAATATATCAGTATTCGTATCAGTAATCAAGATATATGTGTATCAAAGTACTATATATAAATATCATGCATAAAGAATATCTTACTAAGAAATAAAACTGGAAGGGAAATTCATTATTAGGTTAAAAAAATATAATAAAAAAAGGAAATAATAATGTCAAAAATAATTATAAGTAGAGATAGTAAGAAACAATATGTGTACTGATTTTTGCATAAATACAGTAATTATTATACTCGACTTTTCATTTATCACTTTATACATTATTAAATTATAAAATCGTCCTTTTTATATATTTTTATACTTCTGACAGCTCTCCAGCATTATTATATCTTTGTAATTCGTTGACTGCGTGTCACTGATTCTCTGGAGAATTCTTCCGAGAGAAGGTAATACTAAGAATCAAACATTAATCTTTTTCTTTCTGTCTCTCTCTTTTTCTTTAAACTTTAATTTTTACTCTTCTAGCAATCACTGGATAATGAGATGAAATCACGATTATTATATGTACGTCTGATTGAAATTCTAGCTCTATCACTGATATATCAGTAGAAAGTACTCCGATATCATAAGAAGCATTTGCCCTCTCTCATTTCTCATGCAACTTATATGACTTTATTAAATCACTAATGTATTTTGTTTCATAATTGCAAATTTTAAATATGTCATTTATTTCCAATAATCCATATCATGTGATGTTGAATCTTATTGGATTCCAATCGGATCGCAGAGTATTCGCATTCATTCTTCTCATAACTTTTTTTTTATATCTAATCTGGTATTTTATTTACACGTTAACATTGCATCTGCATATGCAGATTATTGCCGAGGCAAATACTTAAAACGCTATTATCAAATAATTGCTGTTATAAAATCCTATAATATACTGTAATATAATGATATTATTATAGTATAATTATTATTCACTCTAATGATCAATTAATAATTAATTTATCTAGACTTTATAATTTTGCAGAAAGTTTAAAAAAATAAAAGAATTAATAATAACAGTAATTAATACTGATAAAATTTTCAATATTTTATTCCGGTATATTGTATTAGAAGTTTAGTAACTCTTAATGTTTAAAAATTCTAGACTTTTATTTATTTTAACAATATAACTACGAGGAAATTAATGTAAACGAACATATGATTCGTGCATCTTAAATTCATTGTTTCGTACCGTCCGGTACCTGTGCACAGTGTATACACAATATTGATCCGGGCTATTCGCGATTTACTTGTTCTTTTCATCCGCGTTGCTTTTGTTTCCATCTTTAAAAATGTAAAATGGCCAATAGTCATGCCCACCCAATCTTTCATTCGATAAATCATCGATTTAGTGAACTGCTTTATTCCTAGCATCTTTCCGTGTCATTTTACAGCGACTGCTATTATTCGTCGCTCGGTTCCGCTAACAATACCAATTAGCACTTCCATAAATTCGGAGCTTTTTCCGTTTCCCTGCGGATAATACTTCTGTGTCACGCCACTATGTGCACTCCACAAATTCTCATTTAACCATGTACGCGGTTTTATCGTTATTTAAGCCTTCGTTTTTGTACGCTGAAAAATTTACTCAAGAACCCAACATTTCGATAATTCGGCTTATGTGACTGTTAATAAGCATTAATGTGTTAATTTAATTTCTCCTTAATATATTTTTATGTTTATATTTACATTTTTTTTCGTATAAATGTATAAATTTGTTTTTAAAGTATTCTATTTCCCGCTCCCTCTCCCTCTCTGATTTATATCTTCAAATATCTATTAATCAATAATACATAAACATGAAATCTCTTCGAATGCATTAAATACGGAATTTATTATATCTTAAATACGAAGACTCCATTTTTTCATCAATTTTATTTTTCACGTCAATGTGTAAAATTTAATTATGTTGACCAAAGAAGAGCAACGATATGAGAAAAACTGCATACACTCCAATATCTCCTACAATATTACGAAACTAGAACAACGCAATAAAAAGCATTAAAAAATATACTGAAATGGTGGCATGACTTTATGAAGAAAGTTTCGCAAAATGGCATGTCGAGTTAAGTCAGATTTATGGTATAACCATAATGGATGGTATATACGAAGAGCTTGCATTCGGATGTCGCGGCTTCCTTATGCATTTCACTGAGTGGACTCGTCTTTTTTTCTCCGCACATTACAAATTTAATATTTTAATTTTTTTAATTAATATTATCTATCACCATGACATAATTCATTACATATATAATCGAGATCCTTTCCTTTAAATTTGAAACTTAGAGTTTTTTAATAAAAAAATTCGGAAACGAAACATTTTTCTGACAAATGATGATTAATTCTTCAGGACTCAGAGACCGTCTTATTGTCCTTTCGACAGAAAAAAATATCGTGGAGACTTACCTTCGGATGAGTGCACCAATGTAACGAAGATCCATGCGGTCCACGGGACAAGGATGGCAGTGATTATTGTCATATTTATTATTCTCGTGATTATTTTTGTTTAATTCCCGTTTAATTTTCGTCACGTACACGCACTGGTACAAAACCTACGCGAGCCGGAGTCCAGATGCAGACTGACTTGTCGTACGGAGTCCAGCAGGAGCAACACGACACGCATGCGTCCTGGCTTCCACGTGCCTGTCTCTTTCGTATCTTTACTAGTCACAGGGACAATTGTGATTTCCCGGACATCCTCATTCTATCCCGTTGCGTAGGAGGACTGAAAGACGTCTTCGAACATCTGTACATATGATATGTTATCTAGCTTATCGTCCTTCGTATGTCATCCTTTCGCGATGTCAAGTCTAGAGATTGTACGCAGCCTTGCACAATGCACTTAACAAACGCGATTCATTTATTCATCACCATTTTGAACCTCTTACAATACAAGAGGATTTGCGTCACGTATATTCATGTTACAAAATATAGATATTTCACATTCAAACCGAATATAAAACTGAATGACAAAAGAATGATCTCCCTACTCTTTTACCAAAGAAATATCTTTAACAATTGACGAGTCGCACAAGTCTTCCACATGCTTGGTTCTCTCGTATTTCTACTAGTCACAGAGAAACAATTGTAATTTGGATATCTTTGTTCTATTTCATTGAGCAGAGAATACTTTTAAACGGATCATACAAGACTCTATCTATCTTATAATCTCTTTTGTATACATCTTCTTTTACTCAATGTTGATTTTCACTTTGTGAGAGGTAAGAAATAAGAAAAGAATCTTTCGATTAAATTAAAAATTATAAAATATATAATATATAATCAATCATATAATGAACGTATCAAGATGTATAATATTAAAAGAAGATGGCATTACAATATATATATATATATATATATATATATATATATTTTTTTTTGTTTGACACATTTATCACAAATTATTAAGTTTTTTAAAAAAATTGTGAATAATATTTTAATATTATGGAGAATTTAACGGTTAAACGAGGAATTTGTGAAAGAAAAATCTATTTTAAATGCAAAATAGAAATAAAAAAAGTCATGGTCTTGTGTATTGTAATAAATTGTAGAATTTGTTGAATGAGATAAGAAAACTGTTTTTGCAAGTTTCAAAATATATTTGTTTATCAGTTTGATTATATACATGTATTTCTTTATTACAGAATAACTCTGAATATAATAAACTAAAAATGAATAAAAATAAAAATATATTAATAATAGATGCAGAGTACACATTAATGAGTAATTCATATATTTCTTTCTAAAATATCAAAAAGCTTCTTAGAAAACTTAGAGGACCAAGAAAACTTTGAATGTATTTTCTTTAAACTTTTTCTTATGTATTTTTAATTTTATATCCTTCCTCCAGTCGCTTCTATTTCTTAAAAAGAAATAGAATGTGCATGAAAATAATTTATTTATTTTAAAAATTTAAAAAAAGAAGGAATATATTATTTAATAATTTTATCATTGATTAGATTTGCTTACATTTTATCTTCATCTCTCTGTTTTACAGTTTCTATTTTATTTAAATCTGCTATCTTTAAAAAATGTGAATAATAAATGTAAAAATTCTTTGAAATTATTCATTTATTTAGATTCGGTAAAAAAGGGTTTTATTAAGTTTACCAATGGAATTCTCATTTCTGTCACATACAAGTCTATAATATTGTTAGCTGAATCTATGTTACAAAGGACGAAACAAAAAGTCAAATTTGCACGATTCTTTCAAAATCCGATTGCTCTCACTCTTACTGGAAAAGAATGCATCAAGCATCCCTCATTGTTTCCGAAATTAATGCCGGAAACCGCAAGTCTGCCTTTACAAACGGCGCCGCGGCGCGTATACGCTTTGATAACGCTAGATGCAGGGGAATAGGGAAACGGAATGGAAATAATTCGCCAGGCTGTTGAGGCAGCCTGGGATTAGTGTAAGCCGTTAGAGGTACGTCCTCGCTTTTCGAGCGTGCGTGCAGCACGTTTCTTCTCTGAGAGTGTTGAAGACAGGGGCACGAGCAGAGGGAGCGTTGGGAACGGTCGAGAAGAAGAAAGGAAAGACTGGCAAAAGGCAAAAGAAGAAGATAAAAGGAAAGATGCGAGAACGACGCCGGAAGTGAGCAAACATATTCCACCGAACGGGCGTCGTTAGCGCGGGATTCAGCCTTCGACTTTTCGCGTTTGATATGAATTTTTCTTCTTTGCCGGGTTGGCATTAATGTGCGTTTTTCGTTCGACGGATGTCCGACTGTGAGTCGTGCACGGCGGTGGCCAACGAGGCGGAGTCGCGTTCGAAGCGAGGAAGTCAAACGAGAAAACTTCGTGGATTAAGCGCAATCAAGTACCGATAATTCCCTTGTGAATCGCGTCTCTCGTTCTTTCTTTATCTCTTTCTATCTTTCTCTCCCTCTTTCTCCCTCGCACTTTCTCTATCTGCCGGCTGGAAGGATGGGTTAGAGAGGACCTTTGCGTGTCCCACCTCGAAAGAAAACGAATTGTTCAGATTGGATACCACCCGTGTTCGCGGCAAACGCTATCTCTTATCCCGACATCGACGCTCGCGAAAGTTCCCGCGGGCGTTATCTACCGAATTAATCGAGAAGTTTCTCGGCTTTAACTATATAACATTAATTTTAATATCAATTCGACGGTTCGTAATATATTCTCTTGATGGTATTCACAGCTCTTGAATGCTCACCGATGCGAAGGCGACGTATCATGTAAGTTAAGAGACGAACTATAAATCACATAGATCTCCAGTAATATTTTATAACTTAAAAACAAGAAAAAAATAATAATAATTGATTTAAGTCAAAGATGGAACAAATTTTGTACTTTTTAACTGTAATTAATATAGTTTCTCTTTTAAAAAAAATATTGATACAGTTCTAATTTTCAATTTAAAAAGTTAAGTTTAAATTACTAAAGCTTAAGTTACGAAGCTACGCTTAAATTTATGCTTTAAGAATTCTCAGAAAAATTATGCGCTTCTAATTAAATCTTTACGATGACAAAGTAATTTTATGCGGTACGATCCTAGTTATTAAATCAGCTTTTATCAAATCTTTTACATAATTATCATATGGAAGATCATAATTTTTATTTTAACTTAAATTAAAACAAGAGAGCTTTAAGAAAATGTAACATTGTTTGCATTTTTTGTTTAAATTTTTCCATATTTATGACACATAATCAAAACTTTGTATGAAAAAAAAGAGAAAAGGAAAGAGGAAAACACTATATATACGACTAAATATATACTATCTAATGCGAGAGAATTCACCGAGTATTATAGTAACGTTAGCTCAACGCGTCGTGCAACCACCATCAATCGTCATTATTTCCCAGATATGGCATTTATGGTTGAAAATCCTGAAAAATAACGTCCGCGTCATTCTAGATACACACTATGTAATTTCTTCTGTATCTCTCACTATATTGACATTAGTAAAAGCGATACCAATGCAAAAATTAGTCTTCCCAAATAAATATCTTAAATTACATATCATAAGTTACGTATTTACATAAACAATAATATATAAGCGAATATAATTAAAATTTAATATTATGTATATACAGTCAAAATATCTTATCATGTCTTAAAGAATTTGCATCAATAATTTTAGTTAATTACATTAAGTTATATCATTATGTATATATATATTTTTTTACATATATATGTTATTTTACTATGCGCATGCCTAGTATATGTGTACATATACATACATACATAAATACATACGGATCTCTTATGATAAATCCGATATCAATATAAAGTGACTTTTTATTAAAAATAAAGAGTTTAGTTTAAGTTTCCAATATAAGTAAATTTTTTTATTATTAATAATAAAATTCTTTATCAATTAGTAAATTTTTACTAATGCAAGAATAAATATAAAATTCTATAACATTACATATATTTCATATAATTGGATATCTTTACGAATTAAAGAATTTTATTACAAATGTAGAATATGTTGCAAAAATTACTATGTTACTTTATCTTTTATATATGTGAATTAAAAAATGGTATATAATATTACATATTGAAAATTTTTATTACTCACGTAAATGCATTTGAATATTGTAAACATTGAAACGCCGAATATTTTTCTAATAATTCACTAATATTTTAACAGATGAGTTTTATATTTAAATCATCATTTATTATTTTTTTTATTTTAAAAATGTCTATTTTATATTGTTACAGTATAATCTTACATAGTATATGTAACATTTTTATATTTTATATAATATATAGTAAAGTTACTGTTTATATCTATAAATGTTTGGTAATAATTAAAACGATTATTAACGGCAAAAGTGCGAATTGAAACAATAAATAATCAATGCAACTGAAGTTCCTCTTTTATTTTTAAAGCGCTTCTTTTATTTTCAGCAGTGCAACAGCGAGGCAGATTATCCTATTTAGCAAAACCTGTAAACTATATGATAATGAAACTAATAATTCGCATTCGTTAAAGCTTCTCACGTTCTATGTAATTCACTACTCTGAGTACAAATGGCTCGTAACACCCGTGCCGTTAATGTTAATATACAACATAGTCGCACACATGGAGCATCAGATTTCTAATTCTAATAAATCCTGCGCGGGGCGTGCCTACTTAGATTGCGCCCATGAAATACCGGCAAATGGACCCTGTAATTCTTAAACGAACAACCCGTACGTGAACGCGGGCAAAAGTTAGCCGCGAACTTCTACTCGTCTGGCGTAACCACGAACGGATGTTCTGAAATAGAGCAATGCTTAAAATATAAAATTGGGTATCATAGAAGAACGATCGATAAAAACTATATAAAAGGAACGCTGAACTCATTAATCAACGTTCATCATTTATTGAAATAAATATTTTTAAGAGATATAACAAAATTAAAAATTTTATATTTCTAATCTCATAACTTTAATACACGACAAGTAATATCAATATTTCATAAATTTCATGTTTTAATAAGAAATTTGTAATTTTATTTTTAAATTAATTTATTTTAATGATTGAAAAGTTTTAACATTGAACATGCATCTTATTTTGAAGTAAATTCAATTGTATGTTATCTCACAAAATAAAAATTTCATGTTCCAACAAAACAATGTATCATAGATCTAAAGAAATCAGATTGAAAACATTTCTTCGTCTGTATTAGCTTTTTACCTAATCTTGTTCGAAGAGTATGTGTCATTATTTTCACATGGGACAGTGCACCATGCTTGCGATGTATCGGGAAGTCGTATACGACAGTCGCGTAGACGAAGATTCGAGACAGCAATAA